CGAAGTTCTTTTGCAAAGACTCTGAAAGAGCTATGCCGAACAAACTACCTCGTTTACCGCGAGATGGAAAAGAGTGAGAGCGCCTGAGTTGTAGTTGGCAAGTGCGACTGTTGTAAAACAATGGTCAGTTTAACAGTTTTCCGTTTACAGGACTAGAAGCCAACGACATCCACAACAAGCACCCAAGGAAGAAGAAGGAAGAAGTCAAAGACGGTTAAAACTGCTCAAAAGATGAAGCGTGCGAGAAGTGAGCTGTCTCCAAGGACAGACTAAAGCTCACAGGAGCATGCGAAAACCGTGGTGGATGTAGGAAAAGTTTCACAATGATCGCATTACACGACAAAGCTGTGTATGCGATGAGGGCGTAACAGATAGTTCAATTTTCCCCTCAGTACAGAAACATACAGGAATCCAGTGTTTCACCGCAGGTCAAACCAAGGCTCAAGCACGGCCCAACAGTGGAGCTTAGAGTGGAAAAGAATCTGAAGCTCGTGCCGTGATTATGAGAAGTATACTGGTATAAGGGTTTAAATTTTCAGATTGGCAGAGTGGTATCACAGATGGACAGACCATGACACCTGTATCTTCCAATCTTCGGCTCTGTCATTCTTCTCTCACCGCTTCCAACCTTAAACGTGGCATCAGATGGAGAAGGAACTCATGCGTGCCATGCTGTTGATTTGCCCAAGCCCAGTTCCCCAACAGCATAGTCCAGCTCATATTGCGCAGAAGGCGAAGCTCCGGCCTCATCTCAAGACATCTATACAAGGTTCCGAGAGGTCCCGGATTATGGCAAGCGACAGGACCAAGCAGCCACAGCAGTGCCATTAAGGTAGCATTCATGTGGCATGCTGTACCCTCCACATTAAAAAGCGATGCACAGAGCAGAACCTGGTACAGCAGTGGCATGTCGGATAGAGGGGGACGCATAGGAGCTGAGCGATCAGCGGGCGCACAGACGTCATCAGACGGGGGACGGCTGAGGATTCGAGGGGTGCCGTGGGACAGTGGATCCGAGGAGGAGGAGGAGGAGGAGGAGGAAGAAACGGAGGAGGAGGAGGAGGAGGAGGAGGAGGAGGAGGAGGAGGAGGAGGAGGAGGAGGAGGAGGAGGAGGAGGAGGAGGAGGAGGAGGAGGAGGAGGAGGAGTTCACCGCCCTCCCATGGCCTGCTGAATCTGGTTGGCCAGGCCCGAGAGTCCTGGTCCATCCCGACGCAGTCGAGCACCTGACATGGGTGCAGACTACTGAACTGTTGTTGATGAGTTGCAGGAATATCGGAACCCCAACTCGAGTTGGAAGTGGATCCACTCCGTCTGCGGCTCCTGAGGAATGCTTCGAAGAGACGCAAACTTCTTGCCCGTGTCCGGATGAACCAGACCACGTAGCTCTCGAAAATTTTGCAGAAGAGTGCGGGGCCGGATTGTCCATCAGCTCCGCGCAAGACAACGCCCCAGCGATCCGCAGAGGTTTACGTAAACCTTGTAGGTACTGTCAGGAAGCATGCGTAGACCTGCAGCATCACTGGAAACAGTGCTACATGATCACCGTGCTTAGCTTCCTAGGCTCTCCACCGCCACCTCCATCTCCTCCTTAGCTGGTGCACCGCCCACCTCGGCTCCTTCTCATGAGCCTCACGGATCAACGAGAACTGAGTCTCTTTCAGAACTTCATGACGCCGTCGATGGGGGTAGAAGCGGCCCAAACCAAACGACGACGGGGAGAGGAGCAGGAGGGCGGCACGCAGTACGGGATCTCAGGCCTCGACAGCCTCGACCGAGTCCAAGGGCATGGGAAAAGGGAAGAACCAGGGCAACAAGAGTGGTCGTAACAGGCGTCAGCAGCAGCAACACTGGGAAGACCAGCCGACAATGGCTCAGCAATGGTCCGGAGCTCCGTCATGGCGTCCGGCGTCCTTCCTCGGACCTCACCCGGCAGCTGGCCCGCCTCCTCAGCCGCCACCAGCTCCAGCTCCAAAGCCTTCAACAGGATTGCAAACTACGCCTGTATTCAGGAGCGGCCAGCAGTCGTTCATCCCCAATCTGGGCGAGATGGCCCAGGAATGGGGGTGTCTTCGCAAAGAAGAACCAGGGAAGGTCAACTATCTGCTCCGCATCATCCTGAATCCTGCTGCAGGCCGTACTACAGGAGATGGAGACTCGAGTCAAATTGTGGAGTGAATGCCCAAGTATGGGCGAAAAAGGAGACCTGTCAGCTGCGCTTCGGCGTGGGCTGCTGTTGCCTCCATGGGCCTGTGCCACAGCTTCGGCCGCCAGCTGTGGAAGCTGTTTCCGCCGACGCTTCAATGATTCAAGGCCGGTTGACCACGACCAGGCGTCTCAACTGGCAGTGGTGTGAAGGTACGTTACTCTCCGGCAGGTCCTCATCGACAACAGAGCGTTTGTCCTCCGACAGGGTCACCAAGGAGGCATGCTCACCATTTCGGCGCTGCCTGTGCTCAGGATACGCAGGCCCTTTTCCACCTCCTGTTCTTGAAGAGCATCAGGAGCCGGCTTTGGCGTAACATCACCCGGTTCCGGCAAGCTCTCCTGGACGGAGTGGTCCCATGGCTGCAGAGCCTTCTCAAGGCGTCCATGTTCAGCCGCATGAAGCAGAAGTTTAGCCAGGTTACGGCGCAGGCATTCGGCACGTTGTAGTGGGGCAGAAGCCCCGACGGCAGTATCTGGATCACCTGGGCGCGGAAGGAGCGTGATCTTCGCCACCTCAGACTCAAGTGGCATCACTTGAGCCTTTGTAGCCAGGCACACTCCTGGCCCTGACATCGGCCACCGGAGCCAGCTGCATGCTCATGCACCTTTGGTTTGGGCCTCTCCCTGATGCATCCTTGGCCAGGCGTGGATGGTCATCTGCTGGCGTGTGCAGTTCGGCAACTTCCTTCGGTACTGTGACTGCTGTTAGCGGGAGGTCGGTGGGCGGGAAGCCATACGACCCGCCACCCATGCAGCCAGGACTTTGACTGTTGCGCCTTGTGCGGCCCTCGGCTGGAAAAGCATTGGCCCTGCACTGAACAGGTCCACAGCATCAGTTTCATCAGGAACTCTGGACATCTGAATTTGCTTGGCAGTGCCCGGGCCGAGGGGAGCACGGAAGAGAAGTCGACTGCCCCTCCGAGTGAGTAAGGCTTTGCGTGAGGAAGACTGCAACTCTAAACCATTGACACCACGCGGCTGCAACTGCATGCCTGGTCCTGATGGATGCGGTCGTTCGGCGGGCAAGAAAGGTGCAAGACCAGGGCCTGAGCAAGCAGAGCATACTGCATCCCGGCACAACCGACGTTGAAGAGCTGCTTTTGCGATGCAGCACTGCGCGACACGTGTTATCGGGAAGAGCATACCACCTCTTAAGTCTCACCAGGTCAGGCATCCGCACTGTGCTCACTCCGCGTTTGGGCTCAGAGGATCCCTTCGCAGCCGCCACCAAGGACGCAGCCGGAGTAGTAGAGGACGATGCAGGCACTGCCCGGAGCCCCATTAGCTCCTGCAACAACGAGACCGCGCATGGACTCCCATCCTGACCTGCCACATTCCCTGCTCACCAGGCAGGTGTAGGCGGTGCCGGTATGGCAGAAGTCGGCACAATTGGATTGGGCACAACTCTGGCAAAATCTGGAGGCGGTGGCTCAGCATGAGGGGTTGCCTTTGCTGTAGCGTTGTGCACAGAGTGTACGCAGTGACATTTGCGAGCACAACCTCTGCGCAGTTGCCTCTCGAGCTTGAGCATCTGCAAGTAGCATGCTTCTTTCAAGACGCCCGCCCTCCGCCCAAAAACTGGTGGGGTGGCAGGTAAGGCCTTCCGCAAGGCGGGAGAGACCTAACCTGACCGCCGCCTGCCACTGTCCTGCCAAAAACCAAGGGCTCCTGCGTGCCGATTGTAATTGTAAGTGTTCACTGTGCTGCAGAGTGTTATTGCTCGATGTCGATCCAGTAGGAGCCGCCGACCTGGCTTCGCAGCGGAGGGCTCGGATGTACCGTCATTGACGGGGGGCTCGGGACCCCCCCCATGCCGGGGAACGCTCTGCTACCTGCTCCACGAGACTTCGGCACCCAAGGAGGTGGAGCGGGAGAACCGACCTGTTCGCAGGAGGCTCTTAGGCACCACAGCCGCCTTGGCACTGCTCTTAGCCTTGGGCGTCGACGCCTTGGTGGACCGATGCAGCAGCACAGCTCTCCCCTTGGGACTCCGTACAGCCGTACAGCCTGCCTGAAGGTTGCCCACAGAATAAAGGATCTCTGGTGGAGCTACCGAGCCAGTACATAGCGGCCACGCATGCCTTCGTGCATGGAAATGCAGGTCAACAGGTTGGGCTGCAGATGACGCATCACTGTGACCGGACGATGTCTGAGCTTGGGCAGCAGAATGCCAGGAGGTGCCAAGGGGGCGCAGGCACAGCAGAGCTACAAAGATCACTTCAGACAAGTGCGCATGAGTTATGGCACGTGACAGCTGTCAGGTGATTTCGCACAACGCTCGAGCCAGAGCCTTATACATCCATGCATGCATGCATACATGCATACATACAAACATACATACATATATACACGCATGCATGCCTGCAGACACGCACGCATCTATGCAAGCTCAAAAGGTGCTTCTGTCTGCAGGGGCATAGAGGTGCCTGAGTCCTGCTACATTTCCTTGATGGTTTTTTGTGGGGTTGTTACTCTTTACAGTGCATGGGGTTTAAACCTTCTGCACAGTGTCAGCCGGCATTTACGAACTCTTGTCCGTTTAGAACATTGCCACCATTAGAAGCCGATTCACTTGCAAGCGAATATCATGCCTGTGTGGCTCGTTTTGATGTACAAGAATGTTTTTTTCGAGAAAAGAATTCCTGTACATCAACCTACACCGGCTCCTCGTCGCACGTGGACTTGCACCTTAGACGTTGAGAGCAGCTGCCCTCAACTTTAAGCGTCAGGAGCCCTAGCCCCAGGCTTTGAACACGAAAGGCACGCGTGAATTTGTCAAGTTCCCTGCGTCAGGCCAGTTTCACACGCGAAGGGCTCCAGTGAGGCTTGGCAGCGATCAGCCGAAAGACCATGGCCCAAACATCACCACCATCATCATCGTCATGAGTGTCACCAACGCCTTTCACCACCAGCACCAATATCATCGTCCTTTTCGCTTTCGTCAACTTCATGAAGGTCACCATCCCCCCATCTTCATCACCACCCCCTCCTCATTATCATCTCACCATCCTGGTCGTCATCATCAACATCATCACCATAACCATCACCACCAACATCATCATCACAATCAACATCATCATCATCATCGAATCACCACTAACATCGTCATCGTCATAGCCGTCATCATCATCATCACCAATGTAATCATCCTCCTCATCATCATCATCATCATCTTCGTCATCGGCGCCGTCGTCCTCATCACCGTCATCATCATCATCGTCATCATCATCACCGTTATCACCATCATAATCATCATCATCGTCATCCCCACCACCTTCATCTCCTTCATCGCCGTCATCGCTGTCACCATGGCCAGCAGCCGCAGCAGCAGCATGGTTTCATCAGGTGTGCATTGCACCACCACCATCATCATCATCGTCATCATCAGCAGCATCATCAGCATCATCATGATCATCATCACCAGTGTCATCATCGCTATCATCGCAAGCATCTGCATCCTACAGTGTTTTGTTTATGCCAACTAATTTTGCTGTTACTGCGGCAGCAACAACTGCAACTGTACCACCCATTGTAACGATCGTCCTCATAATGTACTTGTATTGCCGCCACCTGTTGCTGTCCTGGTTTCGATCTAACTCAGCCATGTAGATGCAGGAAGACATGTTGCAGTGCATGACATGCTACAGCCAACGCTTGTGAGAGCAGCGCAATCCCACCATGGATAGCGATAATTTTAACTCGTGATCTTGCCAGCAGCACCCTCACCACCTATCCCTGCATCTCTTGCAATACCAGTCAATCAGCAATCTGCTTTTGAAAAGCAGCTCTAGTAGTGACAGCGAGACTGACATCAAATGAGGTTCGCCACGATCATGCCGACTAGGCCCGAAAATGCGGTAACAAGAGCACGTGCTCGCACCAAAGCAGCAAAGTGGTAACGTTGATAGCGAAATTAGCATGAAGACTGCAAACAGGACAGCTAACAATTGAAGCCTTCACAGTTGTTTACGGTTCGACACCGGCTGGAAAGACGATTGTTACTGCGCGGTGCAAATCGCGCGGCACTCGTTACTGTGCAAGCAGCTGTGACTGTGATCATGGTCATGTCCCAGACCACAAACTCAAAGGACGGCAAGATTGTAAGCGGAGCCAGCTGTGTTGCTGTCAATAAACCTGCTGGATACCCCCAGCAAGGAAGGATTTCTTTCCGTGGGCCGTTGGAAGTTTGCTTGGGGAGGCACCTCATTAGCTTTTCGTCGCACCCGCTACCACCGATTGCCGTAGATGGTGATTAAAGCCCCTCAGGGAGGAACGTTGCCATTTATTTCCTGTTGCGGTCCTTGAGAACTTTAGTGTTATCTTTGTGGGTTTTCTCGCACGTGCTTGTGGATCCCTGGGCTAGGACCGTTTGTCAAGCTGGCGGGGTCCAACTCCGGCACGTGGGGCATGAGCCGGGGCCTCCGAATCCAGTTGCGGGGTTTCCGGTTTTGGTAATTGTTTTTGTCCTGTTTCTATATACTGTACGGGCTTAGGGCTGTTGCCGCACGTGTTGTGGGGATTGAAGAAGTAGTGAACTATTCAAAGCGGATCCATGGCTTTCAAGTTTAAGCCCAAGAGCCCCGAACAGCCTCGGATGATGAAGGTTGGTGTCAGATACTGAGCCCAAAGAATCGTTATCTCCACAGTGAAACCTGATCAGGAGCCCGCGTCCCGCCGCCTGAAACCCGAAAGCCGGAAGCCCCACATCCCCATCCGAATTTGAGCTCTGAAACCCAGTCTTTGCAGGAAACGGGCCGCCGAATGAAGGCGACTCCCGGAATCGGCTTCCACGGCCGCTACCGCTTGAGGTGTTTCTGAAGCTCGAGTCCGTAAATCCAACGTCGAACATGCCCCGCACCCGAAAATCCTTCAATGCTGGATCTGAAGCCCGGGCAGCGCAAAATGTGGTTCCTGTAGGTAGGTTTTCAAAGTCGGCACATCTACTGGGGGAACAAGGCCTTAAGTCCCCCTGAGGGTACCACCACCATCACACCACCACCACGACGACTGCTACTGCTACTGCTACCGCTACTGCTACTACTGCTTTTGCTGCTACTACTGCAACTACTGCTGCTACCACTTGCTACTAGTACTACTGCTGCTGCTGCTGCTACCACTACCACTACCACTACTACTACTACTACTACTACTACTACTACTACTACTACTACGACTACTACGACGACGACGACGACTACTACTACTACTACTGCTCTACCACTGCCACTACTAACTAGCACTGCATCACTACACCAATGCATCACCGCACCACTGCACCACGGCCCCTACTCCTCCTACTCTTACCCCTCCTACTCCTCCTCCTCCTCCTCCTCCTCCTCCTCCTCCTCCTCCTCCTCCTGCGTCTCCCACTCCTCCTACTCCCACTCCTCCTTCCCCTCCTCACTGCCCCCACTCTTACTCCTGCTGGTACTCCTACACCTACTCGTACTCCTACTCCTACCTACTTCCACTTCTACTCCCACCCCTACACCTGCTCCTGGCCCCAATCCCGCGCCTACTCCTACTTCTACTCCTACTCCTACTCCGACTCCTGCTCCTCCTCCTCCTCCTCCTCCTCCTCCTACTACTACTACTACTACTACTACTACTACTACTACTATAACTACTACTATTACTACAACTACTACTACGACGACGACTACTCCTACTCCTACTCCGACTGCGACTCCGACTCCTACTCCTACTCCTACTCCTACTCCTACTCCTAATACTGCTGCTGCTGCTGTGTTCATTCCAATCGCAGCCGGTCGCTCAGCTTGGCGTCAGGTGTGTGGCAGTGCTTTGCACCGGTGCTTCAAGAGCACAAAATCCACATGGGGAAAATTCCGCTATGAATAGCTGCAAACTTGCGACCTACTCAACTTGTCAAGAGAGCTGTGCATTGTTGCACAGATGTACATGATTACTGCAGCATAAGTGCTGAAACAATGTAGCAAAATGCGAGGATGAGGAAAATACGGTGTGATTCACCGAGCTAACGTCAAGGCAACCCGGGACATGGTGAGATTGTGCACGTGTCCACGAAGGGTGCCATCTAGAGAAGGGCAGTCACCACGCGTGGATTGCAACCAAACGCCACCGCCACTGAAAGTCGAGCAGGGGAGCACAACGTTGACGCTGTCAGGATAGTTGTTGAGAGCTCCATGTGCGCGCATAGCGGTGTTGCGCTGGAGCACAAAACTTGAGAAGGGCACGTGAGTGCACGATCTTATGTATTTGCAAATCAGAAGCGTCACGCAAGGGAACTACGTGGTGTTGCGTCGCAATCCATAGAGCGGGCCTTGACTCCACTGCAAAAGCACATGCCGCTAGAGCGTTCTGTGCTGGCCTCTCTGCGCAGCTCGCTTGTTGGCAGAGAATCGCATAATATCTCCCAAATTTTCATCCGGACTTGCCCGCTGACAATCATATCCACTGCAATTTGCTCAGCCACATGAATGGGCTTTGGCATGCTTTGTGGGATGCTGTCATCAACTTCTAAGGAGTAGGGCATTCACACCACATGGACGTCTGCTGTAGGCAGCCTTCCAGTCGCATCCTCCATGGTGGCTTTCCAACACACTGCGGATAGCGATGCTTTTCACCGGCAGTGCAGCAAGGAGTACGAACCCCATATCCAGGGAAGGCGGCAAAGGTAGCAATGTAGTGCAAAATCGAAGACGCAATCAAGCAATCCTTTTTTTGTATCTGCATCCAGCTCGGTTCTGACCAGCCATCTATACGAAACTAATTGCATGCAACAGCTGAGTGGCCAGGGGCACATTAGAGTGGGCATGGACGCTAGGCACCATGTGTGCAAATTTTGATGATTTGTTGGAGTTTTTCGGAGCATGTGCTGCTTGTGCGTCCCCCGCAAACGGCTACCCCCGCACTCAGCCTGCAAGTACCTGCACAACAGCAGGAGGACATAGCATTGTTGACCGAGTACAGAATCGTGCAACACTGCTGCCCTGACGGGCTCTATAGGTTTGCTATCATGAGCTTTCCACTGCGGGGGCGCATGCGGAGCAATTCGGGATGGAAGACGATTGATGTACCGAGCGGTGTAGTGTCCTTCGTGAACAGTAGCTCCGCAGTGAAGTACACACGCAACGACGGCATATTGGGTGAGCTCGCACTCCGAGTTGGAATTGGGGTCCCTGTAGCAAGGCACCTGAACCGTAGTGGGTATGCTAACCTTAGTGTGAAGTTTAACTGTTCTGCCAGCCTCTGTGTCCTGGAAGCGAGAAATGCGCAGGAGGAGGATGCTGGGAGGATGTGTACAGGCTTGCAAGCAAGTACCTCCCGGGTGCCAGTGATCGATCATGTGCTGAAGGCTAGTGGGGTTTTGAGGATTATAGAGAACTCAAGCGCGATGGCTTTATGTGTGAAATGCTGCTATCTAGTCTCAGTACCATCGACAACACTGACGATGCGCGACTCCCACCTTCCTTGAAGAACTTGCGGCCGTCCCGTCCCGCTCCTAGAAGGTGCGCCAGAAACTCATAGGCATCGTGTTGCTGGTGGATTTTTTTCAGTTACGCAACAAGGATCTCCAGGAGCGCAGCGCATGAACATGGACAGGCCTTCGTGTCTGCTAGACGTCCCGCCAGGCCTGTTCCTGAGTGCCACTTCGATGATCAAGGTGGTTCTTAAACAAGTAGCACACTTAGTATATAAATAGCAGGCTTGTCGAGGTTAGGTATATGTAGTTAGGAAGTGTCATAGTTACACTTACGATATGTAGAGTAGTGTAGTTAGCTAAGTACACATAGCGGAGTTATGTGTCGGAGTTATGTATAGGTGTTTCTATATATGAGTGCATATAACTGTGAGTGTGTATGCACAATCTCAATAGACTCGCAGGCAGGGCTACAAGCTCGCCATGCAGATTTTTTCTTAGGCAGGAGTGACCACGACCTCGCCATCCTTGGGACACTTCTTATAGTAGCATGCCCTCTGGATGTGGACACTCGGAATAAACCGAGCCGTGGAATCGTCCAGGAGGAAGCGATTCGTACCCAGAGGCTTCAGAATGCTACACAAAGTGCACATGTCCCCGTCATACAGGCGGCAATGCAGCCACACTTGGACCACATCACCAGAAGAAAGCAGCACGAGATCACCTTTCTCGCAGCTCTGGCCCGGCCTGCAAACGGCCTGAAAGGAAACAGTCGCACCGCATGCTCGATCGCCGAAGTTTGCATTCAACGTGGCCTGCAAAGAGATCGTAGCTTTCTTGGGTGACAGCAGATGGGGCTGCAGACTGAAAGAGTCCGCTTGCATCTGCAGGATCACTTCGCCCCACACGTCTCTGAAGACGGATTTCTCAAACCAGTCTCCAGGGTTGTGAATCTCGTTTGCCAGCTGTTTGATTTGGCGATGCTTTCTTTCGTGAGTGAAGCAGGAAATCAGCGGTTTCTTTCGAGCAAAAGCGCCAAGGTGCAGGCTATAGTGGAATTTAGGCACAACATGCTCGGAGCCATATGCACTGAGAAATGCCCGGCAGTGTTTGAGGATGGCGGCCTCCAAATCGTCTGGTGGCACCTGCTCTCCCCGGTTCCCTTTAAGCAAGAGATCCAGGACGAGAAACAAATTCAAACAACTGGTCATCGCCTTTGCCAGTAAATCTGGAATGCTTCCTGTTGCAAGACTGAGCAAGAAAAGTCGCAGCAATGGGTACAGGTTCAGACCTTGAGAGGCACTACACTTGAACTCGCCAGGGGGAATTCTCTTGTCGAAAATCCTCAGTGTCTCGTTGCGGTGTGTCCTCAAGCCGTAGGGCCATTCGAAGGAACACATCCAGTCTTTCAGACTTTCCACTGTCACACCGTGGGTATAGAGTATGGGGAACAAAAGCCCCAGCTCCACGTGCATCAGTCCTGCTACCAAGTAACAGTGTAGCCAGTCGTACATCAAAGTGGAGGCCAAAGGCAAACTCCCATGGAACAGGACACCATCTGGGTTATGGTTCATCCCCAGTGACTGCTCCAGCTGCTCAAAAGCCTTCTTGGAGACTTGGCCACATCGGCTTTGCAGTAACCTGCAGCCCTGCCAGATGGTATTGTCCGTTCTTGCACAAAACTTCTCCAGAGCAGTTTCGTGCACAGGTACCAGTGTCCCAGTTGTGTCGCAGCCTTCCAGCATGCTCGTCTTGGCAACAACATTGGAGCACAAAGGACATGTTAGTGTCCCCGAGGAGCCCTTCACATCAAAGACTGCCTTCAAGGCAGCTTCATCTGCCACCATGGTGTCCAGCTTGGCGAAGAACATAACTCGTTCACCGCCCGAGTCCAGAAGCAAACCATGCTCGAAGTCCTCAAGCTTCAGTGCTTGCAGGAGGTGGTGGGTGAACTGCGAGAGGCCGCCAGGAAGTTGGTTCACCAGATGGGACCTCGCCAAAGCCACCGTGAACCACATTCTTGGCAACGGAACTCCGCCCCGAATTCATGGAAGGAAAGGTAGTAGGCTTGGATCTTCCGTGTGTTTTGCTGCTTTAGTTGGTTGCCCGGTGATATCTCATCACAATATAAACACACCCGCCAAGGTGTGTTTGCCTTGGGCGGGTGTTCCAGGAACTTCCTGCTGAAAAAACTAACAGGCAGGTTCTTGACGACGTACCACATCCAGGCTTTCAGATTCAATGTTGGGAAACTCCGTTCCTTTCCCTTCTTGTCTTTGATCTGCATATTGTCGATCAAAGCGCCATATGGTGTGTCGATGGCGACCTGTTCCTCTCTGGCTCTTTTGATGCCTGATCTGGAAGGTGCCACTGTGGAAGACGATTCGGAAACCTCCTTCAAAACAGCTGCTAAATCACTCTGGCTCACATAATGCTTCCGACCCAAGCTGGCCACGTCCAACGACATGGCTAGTTTCTGAATGCCGGCGAGCTTGCAGCCTTGCCGGCTTGATGGGCCCCAATGAAAATCTGTATAATATCATGCTCTCGGCTTTTATAGCTGCGAGCAATTTTGCGAAGGACATATAATTACCTATATTGAGGCTTCCCTTCCCTATATCTATCTATGTTCTATATTTATTTATTTATAAACCCTAAATCCATAAAACTTAAAACCTTAACACTAAAACCCATGCACATAAACTCTCAACCCTATATAACTTAACCCAAAACGATAACCCTTAAGTCCTGGAATGGCATAAGGTGTCAAAGCAGCTTCATGAGATCTGACTACATGGCCTGGCACAGATCCAGCTTTGCAAACAAATCCACATGCACGGCTGACAAAGCAACTCTCATGTCGATATGTGCATGCATGCATTCGCTCCGGCCAAAGGCATGCAATCTGCATGTTTTTGTCTCGGCTCGCGATCATGCTCATGCAGACCCATCTGCAGGCATGCTTGATGTTGCTGGACGAAGATGCACAAATGGCGGAACTGAGGGAACAGTTTCTTGTCCCTCGTGGCAAAACGGGTTTAGAAACAGCTTGGGCAGCAGCCCGGTTTGGACCTGCATTTGGAGCAACCGTGTGGCCTCAACAAGACTCGCTTCGCGAGGGGGAGCGAGGCCCAATACTTTTTGCCGGCAGCATGGGCTGAAGGCTTCTTCAAGATGCTCTTGGGCTGGGCCTTTGCCTTGGGCTGGGCCTTTGCCTTGGGCTGGGCCTTTGCTTTCGGCTTGGACTCACTTTTAGCCTTGGCCTTAGCTTTTGCTTTAGCCTTCGCTTTCCCCTTCGGCTTGGCAACTCCCTCGAACTCGTCAGCCGTTCGCTTGCCCTGGCCTCCAGTCTTGCGGTTGTCCAATGCATCGGACACTTTGGTGGCTTCCTCTAGGGCCTGAGTTGTGTCGAGCTGGAAGGCGAAGGGGTCTGCAGGCTTTGTCTCGATGTTCTGGCCGGAACATGGCAAAGATGGCTGCTGTGCCTGTGGCGAAGAAGATGGCTGCTGTGCCTGTGTCGTAGAAGATGGCTGCTGTGCCTGTGTCGAAGAACATAGCTGCTGTGCACATGCCGGTGTCGAAGAAGATGGCGGCTGTTGCGATCCCGAAGAGGACCCCGTGCCGGGAGCGAAGATCTGGAGGTTCTGCAACCCTCCCTGCTGGGTCGCCAATTGATCTTGCTGCTGCTTCATCCATTGCATGAGGCCCTGCATGGACGAAGCATTTGGCATGCCATGCATGCCCATCATTCCCTGCATGTAGGGGTTAACCATCATGTTCATGCCAGCCATGTGCATGCCAGGCATCGACATAGAATTTGCAGGCACCAAGGCAGTGCTCGCCTTCGGTGTGGCAAAGATGCCTCTCACCTTCTTGTTCGTCGGTCTCAGCGAAATGTCCACGGCTTTGAGTGCCACCTGCCCAGCCGGCAGCAGAGTGCTAACCGGCCCATCCTCGGCATCGTAGGCCGCCTTGAACAAAACATCCGGTAGCTCACGAGGCCCACCAACCGGATAGGTTTCAATGTGAATCCCTTCTTTTGGGACTTTCTTCGCTTTGAGACGAAGCACTCTTTTGAACTCCGCCACCTGGAGAAAGAGCTCGGCTTCAGTGCATGTGCCACCGGATCTTGCAGCGATGGCGGCCAGGATACTTTTCACACATTGCTCTGAGGGCAATGTGAGCCTCAATCGGCAGCACCTGCTTGCTGCAGTGTCGATCTTGATGTGGATGCTGGAATCAGAAGTCAGCACTTCCACGTCCTTCTCGCTCAGGTAGGACTCGAAGCTGCTGCACATTTGATTCTCCCTGCGATTCTTGCTGCCTTTGCTCCCACTTGTTGCACTGACACCCTTGGCCAGCACTTCAGAAAAGGCTTTGGTTTGGTCAACAGGCCATGGGCCGGTGCTCCACGAATCGGCCAGTGCTGCCCCTGCCTCAGGGTCGAGGCAAAGCCCTGCAGCTCGCTTCGTGAGGGCATCAGCTTGGATCTGGCGAATCGACTCATAGTTGGGCATGGAAGACATGCTCCCCAGGAACTTGATGGTCGCCGAGAGGTCGCCCTTGAATTGGTCCACGGCGGTTGAAGCTGCCATGTTCGAGACACACACGAGCTGCCAGCGAGCTAGAAGCCCTGCTGGCGATAATGTGAAAACAGAGCCAAGCCTCATGCATTCAGAGTACAACAACAGGATGCTGCAAATCGATGCCCCTTCCTCCATGCACAAGATTGCAGGGCAACATCCATGCTTCACAATCATGCAATGGTGGCATTGTGCTCGCCTGGCAGTGCATGTTCCTCACATACAAACAATGCCCCATGCATGCCGGTGTGCATGCTGTGCATGGGTGGAGGGTTGGGGTGGGATGGGGTGGGTGCATGGTGTTTCGACATATAGATGTGTCGTGTATATATATATATATATAGTATATGTGTATAGAAGCATATATAGACACAACCAGAAATGTGTATGTGTACCAATACATGTATATATATATATATGTATATATATATAAGAGAGAGAGAGAGAGAGACAGAGAGAGAGAGAGAGAGAGAGAGAGAGAGAGAGAGAGAGAGAGAGAGTTCTCTGATGCATATGCACTTATATATATATGTATATACTATGGCATATATAATGTGTGTAGATATATATATATATATATATACAGCATTATATTTTAGATGTAAGAAATGAGAGGCCGCACAAAGTAATCATTACAGATGATACCTGAGACAGACTTGTGATATATATATATATATATACACATAATAAATGTACATGAACAAGTAAAACCTATAGCTGGGAGATACGAATATGTGCAATGTATAAAACAACATACAACACCAAATAATATGTGTATATACACATATGTATATATATATATATATATATACATGTATATATGTAAAAGAATACATATACATTTATCACGACGAGCAGGACAGGAAGCAAAGCACAGTAAAGGTGGGCTTTGCCGGGCCGAGGAGGGTTGTTGTCGGTGTGTGTGTGTGTGTGTGTGTGTGTGTGTCCTCGCCTGGCAATTCGAGTCTTTGCCTTTGTGTGTTTTGGCCTTGCAGGGCACTTGTGCTCGCAGGCACACGTGCATTGTTGTTTTTGCTCATGATGTTGTTTCTCTTTTTGGTTTCTCTGTTTGGTGCAATGGTCAAAAAAGGTTTGCTTGTTTCTTTTGTTGTTTTGTCCTACATGTGTGTATATACACAGGTATATGTATATGTGTATATATAAAGTGTATATATATATATATATATGTATATACATATATATATATATACATATGAATATATATATATATATATATGTAAACATTCATATAACGATTCATGACTATATGCAAAATATATCGATACATGGAACATGTTTCTGACCTCAAGGACACAACTGTCACAAGTCTTCAGTACATGGAACCGAGCAAGCAGCTCTCAGCGCACAACCGCCGAAATCGCCATTTTCAGCTGAAGCCGGTCAAACTGTGTCTCCGTCGAACGACTACAACTGGCCGGGGTCCGGGGCCAATTTCAGGTACCTTGCAAGGTACATCTACAGGGATTTGGGGCCACCTGGAAGATGATCGGCAGCCGTGCTGTATATGTTTGTGTTTGTGTGTTGGTTTGTGGCTCTCGCCCTGCTGCTGTGTGTGCTGTGTGCTGTGGAAGATCTGGTGTGTGAGTTGCTGTGTTGTGCCTGTTCTGGCTGCCTGCTTCTTCCAGGCTCCCGGCACTGTTGCAGCCGAGCTCAGAGTGCATGGGCCTGCCACAGGGTGCCAACCGCCAGTCGATACAAAATCACATCATCTCCGGTCCATGCCTGGAGATAAAAAGCCGGCACGATCATCAGGCCAATGTGGATGCCCAGCATCCTGCAATCGGGACAGCAGAGGCAAAAGCCCCTGGATGACACCACGACCGATGCAACCACGAGTTTATCGATCTATAAACTCTTGGCCCCGAGGATGCCCGGGAGTTTATCGATCGATAAACCCTTGGTCTCGTCCTCCTTATAAGAGAGAAGGCCGGGACAGAAGTTTATAGATCGATAAACCCTTGCCCCCCCCGAACCCCGAGAGTTTATAGATCGATAAACTTGTGTTCCCGAAGCACAACAGAGTCCTTGTGGAGGTTCACCATCGCCGGCTCCACGTGACAGTGTTCTTCCACTTGTCCTGTCGGGTGTTTGGGGCTCTCAATGTACTTCGAACAGAGCAATGTCGCAGACCTCGCCCTGCGAAGAGCTCGAAGCCTGCGAGGCAAACATCTCCCTCTGGAAGCCCAGCATCTCCCGTTGGAGCTCAGTCTGCCAGGAAGCAAGGAAGCACAAACCCCAAAGCCACAGAGGCAGCAGGAGCAGAGAAGGAGGGGAGAGGGAGACATGTGGAGAAGGAGGCCTGGTTCGTGAGGGTCTGAGCCATCGTGCTGATAGCCTTGAACTCCTGGCCGTGGACCCTCTGGCCACCACGGCTTCTCGACCGGATCCTGTCGGCAGTCGGGGCAGGGTCCATAAGCCCTAGAAAAAGAAGACACCCTGAACCCTGCAAGTGCCTTCCACTGCCAGGCGGCCAAAGAACTCCATTCTCATCAAGAAAGCCATGAATCTGTCTGCCCTGCACCGGGGTGGCTTTCTTGACTGCCCATGGAGCTTTCCCGGAAGCGATCTCCACCGTAGTGACCTGAAACAAGCAAGTCCATGCATGCCAGAGCGAGCTTTGAAGTCATTGGAGCCCGGCTTTGGTCGGCGGCTTGCCCGCTTGCACAGTCAAAGCCTGCAGCAGGACAATAACAGAAGGGCTGCTTCACTCCGGCGGTTCGTGTCTTCATTGGCCTTGAAGGGGTCATCCTTGGCAGCAGGCGCCACAGCCTGCACACCGGCCACAGACGAAAATCTTAATGGTGAGTGTTTCCCTCGCCTTGTGCTCGCCCGTGAGATCGACAGCAGTCTGAACAACACAAAGGCCAACGAATCATAACTGCATGGGTTCTCACTTCTTTCTGTGTTTGCGAACCTCTGTCTCCTCGGGCAGCGGATCCACTGCAACTTCTTCCTCCGTGAACACACACACACAATGCCTGAAGCTATGCTCCTTGTGTGAAATCTATGCAGCACCTGCTCCTCCTCCAAGGCAGGCTCCGGGTCCATCAACAGCTCCTGCACTCAACATCGAGCTGAACCTTTGCTTCCTTGTAAGGAAAAGAATGCAGCACCTGATCCTCGTGGAAGTGCTGCTCCGCTTCCTCCTGCAGTCACAATACTTTGGGTATAATATCATTATGTATACAATGTGGCACCTCCTCCCTTTCAAACGGTCTTCTCCATCATCTTGATCCGCCCATGGGTCCTGTCGCAGACAGCACACAAAACAAATTCCATTTTTCCGTGGCCACTCCAGCCTGGAACTCCCCATCATGGCCAGAGACCTTATATAAATGTACATCAAGAACCATCATGGGAAACAGCATCAATGGAACCATGACCGCCAAGGCCTCGACCGGAGGCGGGTCCATGGGCTCCGGAGGAGGCTTGGAGCTCGAAGCCTCCTCACACCACATCAGGTGACAAGAAGAACCATTGTAACGATCGAGTGCCTCGGCTGGCTCCTCGCCGGATTTGACTTCCTGTATCAAACAACACTGCATGTTCCATCCGAAATACTTCAGACACACATCCAAGGTCCTCGAAGTAGATTTGGCTGTTCCTGTACCGGCCCTTCTTGGAGCACCAGAACTTCCAGCCTGATCGGTGTGTTGGGTTGCTGGGTGTATGTTGAAGTTCACACAGGCCTTTCTCAGGAGGCTCCAGGGACTTCGAGGCATTGAACCAGATGGAGAGCACCTCCTTGGAGTCCCCCATCTTGTCCACGTGCCAGCCTGGACCAAAAAAATCATTTCTCTCCATGCATGATCAGCACATGCGCCCCACCTCCTTTGGTCCACCTCAGCCTTCCCCATGGCCTTGCAGCCGGCCCCGAAAGCCACTTCCACTTCTTCTTATTGTCCTTCGTCCAATGCACAGACTGCAAAGTTTCAACCTGGAGATGTGCACAACCCCTGTGGCCGTCGCCTTCGTGAAGGTGTCTCCGATCGAAGCCTGCAAGTCGTGCTCCGCCGCCTGCATATAGGGTTGAGGGTTTAGGGGTTTTTACAAATATGTAGGGCATGCAGTGCAGCAGACATGCCTCGGGCATTCCATTGAAAAAGAGGCGATAGCAATCCATGGCTATGTCGCAAGCCCTAAACCCCGAAACGTCGATAGTTCATGGCCTCAGTGGCTGTATGCCTGCTGCATGCATGCATCGGCCTCAGTGGCTGTGTGCCTGCATGTTGCATGCACCTTCCTGTGCATCCTGTTGCGAGAGCCTTCGTGCATGCGGGGCGGCAAATGCAGGAAGCACTGACAACACATGCAACAAAAGCATACGCTCTCTCGTAACCGTCTCTTTCTCCTGCCCCTTCTTTCACCCCTGCGATTTGGAACACTTTCCCTTTCCCCGTGTCATATGTATATTCAAACATGCTACATGTGTGTGTGTGTGTAATAGAAAAGGCATCCATCATTCATTGTATGATATGGCAAGAAGCAAAGCTGTATACCACATTTCTTCTTTCCCTCGCAAGAATGCAAAGTGGCCCCTCAAATCGTCTATGTAATATATAGACATGGGAAACATGCTGCCGATCAATAATCTTCGTCCTTCTGTTCCCCATCAACCTCGCCGCCCTCGGCCTCCTCGTCGCTGCTGTGACCCCGGGCTCGCTTCTTGCTGCCGGATCGTCGTGTCACCCGAGGCTTCGCTTCCTCTGTATCCAGCTCGTTCTTGAACCAGTTGATGTTCTCTTCTGTGAAGTGCATCCAAACATAATAGGCTAATTCACGTGCGTCGTCGCGCCGCCGCGTCCCGCGTCCCGCGTCCCGCGTCCTGCGGCCCGCGGCCCGCGGCCCGCGGCCCGCGGCCCGCGGCCCGCGGCCCGCGGCCCGCGTCCGCGTCCCGCGTCCGGCGTCCCGCGTCCCGCGTCCCGCGTCCCACGCCCCGCGCCCCGCGCCCCGCGCCCCGCGTCCCGCCTCCCGCACATCTTTTCATCAGTTGTATATGGCCGCCCAGTTGCGGTCCGTCTGCAGCTAAATCCGACAGCTTCAACTTATCTTATCACCATCACACGGAACAGCACTTGTCATATACATAATAGGCCGATTTGTGCGCGGCCCAGCGCCTCCATTCTGCGGCCGGGCACAGATGGTTGTACTTGTAGTAGTATAGTAGTAGTAGTAGTAGCAGTAGTAGTAGTAGTAGTAGTCGTAGGAGTCGTAGTAGTAGTACTAGTACTAGTCCCCCCCTTCCGGAAAAGTTTTTGCAAGGACAATGAACTGAAAATGAGGCTGAACTGGAACTGAAACTGTACTACTACTACTACTACTTCTGCGACTGCTACCACTGCTGCTACAACTACGACGCCTAGCACTAGTAGCACTAGTACTACTACTACTACTACGACGACGACTACTACTACTAGTACTACTACTACTACTACTACTACTCCTACTACTACTGCTGCTACTAACTACTGCTACCACTCCTACTACTACTACTACTACTACTACTACTACTACGTGTTTGTTATATATAGTACTAGTACTGGTAATAGTAAAGAGTAATAGAGTAATACAGTCATAGACTAATAGACTGATAGACTGATAATAAACTAATAGACTACTAGACATAATAAACTAGTAGACTAATAGACTAATAAACGAATAGACGAATAGACTAGTAGACTAGTAGACTAATAGACTAATAGACTAATAGACGAACCAATGCAACTGTCACTGTGGACGATACACATGCATATCTCTGGAAACTTGGATCATACATACAGAAAGCACATCTACCAGTATGTAACGCAATATAGTAATTATATCTTGGATGGAAGGATGAAAAAAGAAAGATTGATGGATGGATGGATGGACGGATGGATGGATGGATGGATGGAAGGGGCAGAGGCATCAAAAAAAATGATAAGCATCAAAGGAAATTTGATAAGCATCAAACAAAATTTGATAAGCATCAAAAAAATATTTGTAGACAGAGTAGTAGCACTAGTAGTAGTCGTAGTGGTGGTGGTAGTAGTAGTGGTAGTAGTGGCCGTTATTTTTTTGGTCCTCTGGCTTTTTTCGCGTGTTTGTTGGAGATGGTGGTGGCGGTGGTGATAGTGATGGTAATAGTAATAGTAATAGTAATAGTAATAGTAATAGTAATAGTAATAGTAATCGTAATAGTAATAGTAATAGTAATTGTAACAGCAGTAGCAGCAGCAGTAGTAATAGTAATAGTAATAGTAGTAGCAACAGTAATAGGCAATAGTTATAGTAATAGTGATAGCAATAGTAATAGCAAAAGTAATAGTAATAGTAATAGCAATAGTAATAGTAATAGTAATAGTAACAGTAATAGTAATAGCAATAGCAATATTCATAGTAATAGTAATTGTCATCATCATCATCACCACGTACATATACATATACATATACATATGCATATACATATACATAGACATAGACATAGACATTGACATAGACATAGACATAGACATAGACCTATACCTATACGTATACGTACACATATACATATACATATACATATACATATACATACACATACACATACACATACACATACACATACACATACACATGTACATGTACATGTACATATACATATACATATACATATACATATACATATACATATACATATACATATACATATACATATACATATACATATACATATACATATACATATACATATATATATATATATATATATATATATAATATACATGCATATATATGTCTTTGGATATATGGGTCTATGTATATGGGTATATACACATATGGATATAAGTATCAATGAATACATATATATATGTATATTTACATACATATACATCTCATATGTCAATCTTAAGCGCGTTCCCTCATTCGGCGACTGCGGTTCATCATATATCTTAACCCCTCCTTTGGCGCGTTCGGCTCCTCATGCAATCAACAAGCCCCCTCATTCACTTGACGAATGCTGCCCCGCCCCTGCTTTGGCGAAGCCGGTTCCTCGGATATACATAAACAACAATATATACACGTACAGCTGTATATATCCCTGTTCTTCCTCGACCACACTTTCCGCGGTCCCCGCGCTTCGACTTTTTTTCATCATATATCTTCAACTCGCTCCTTCCTTTTAATTTTGCGATTGGGCTCGTCGTAAATCTTACATTTGCCCCCTCGGTTCATCTTCTGTCTTCAATTTGGCGCGTCCGGTTCCTTGGCGCATTCGGCTCGTCCCGCAATAAAGATGCCTCCTCATTTCGCGAGCTCTGCACCCGCACCCCTGTTCTTTCGCGAATCCGGTGAATATATGCTATATATACATATGTCTACTAGAAACAAAAACGTCTAGGTGTATATATCCGTGCTTTTCCTCGACCACAACTTCTACGGTCCTCGCGCTTCGACCTCAAAATACTGTCCGGCGACCCAATTTTACTGCTGCGCGACGCTGCTTCTTCCCACGTTATACAGCCCCCCCTCATATTAAAACCTGGCGCTCCCAGAATTTTGCGCGTTCGGGCCCGGCTTTTTACATTCACAGGAATGATGCTCCGGGCGGTCTCGGTTTGTATTAATATAATAAAACCGACATTACAGTATAGTATTAAGCAAACGAACCACGGCTTTAGGGGTCAGAAGCTTAGGGCTTACAGGGCTGTAGTGTTTTACTGTTGTGTCTCGGTTTTTTTGGGGCTTCATGGTTTAAAGCTTCGAGTTTATAAGGATTTACAGCTTTGACGGTTTTAGGGCATCGAGCCTCAAGGCCATCGGCTGCCGCGTCGCGCATCGTGCCGCCCTGCGTTCCTCGTCCCGCGTCGTCCCGCGCGTCCCATGTCGTCCCGCGCCCTGCGTTCGTCGTCCCGCATCGTCCCGCAGTCCGCGTCCCGCGTCCCGTGCTCCACGCTCCGTGTCTCGCGGCCAAGTCTCGCGTCCCGCGTGCCGGGTCCCGCGCCCCACGCCCCGCGTCCCGCATCCCGCGCCCCGCGCCCCGCGCCCCGCACCCCACGTCCCGCGTGCCGGGTCCCGCACCCCGCGTCCCGCGTCCCGCGCCCGCGCCCGCGCCCGCGCCCGCGTCCCGGGCCCGCGTCCCGCGCCCCGCGTCCCGCCCGCGCCGCGTCCGCGTCAACTCCCGCGCGCCCGCGTCCCGCGCGTCCCGCGCCGCGTCCCGCGCCCCGCGTCCCGCGTCCCGCGCGCCTCCGCGGCAAAAAAAACCTAGACCCCATCCAAATGGTCTGGGTGTTGATCCCCTCAATCAAGACTTTGAGGCTATGTTCGCGACATTCGATGTCGAGCACTTCTGGCAGCATAATCATGTGCTTGCTGTTTGCCCTCACTGCCTTAGGCTTTTTTCGGGCACCATTGGCAGTATTATCTTTGACCTCAACCTCGAGGGCTTCCTGGAGCTTTTGGTTGGCGACATTCTGTCGCTGCTCCACGATCTCCCCCCAAACCTTCGAGCTGAGACTGCCGGATGCTGCAGCCTTCCCCGGCCTAAGGTCCAGGGCCTTTCCTGTCAGCACCTTCACGAGCTGCCGGTTCCACTTCTCCAAGCAAACGAACTCCAAGCCCGACACCTCTTTTTGAGGAAGCACAAGATCTTGCTTGCCATCTGAAATGACCCGCTGCATCTTCACTGTCAAAGGCAGAGATATCCTATACACAAAAGACACAAGCTCGAAATGTTCTCTGCCATCTTCGAAGCACAGGGTTCATGCAGGGTACATGTCATGTTTCATGTCAGGTTTGAATCAGCTCATGCATGCAATCTGCACACAAACTGCCTGCGAGCTTGCAGCCCTGCAGGGCGGTGATGGCATCCGAGCATGCACGAACCCGTTTCAACAGCTCTGTGCGCCAAAACTCGTTCTGTCTGACACCAAAACTCCGGCACGGTCAAATGCACTCAGTGCTTGCCTTTCACCCGCTTCACGGGCTTCGGCATCTCCAAGTTCTCCCTCTTGTTGTCCTTCTTGATCGGGGCCTGCAGCAACGAGGTGCCTTTGGGGATTGCATGGGTATTCTTCAAGATGGGGATCAACAGCTTCACGACATTGGTTTTTGCATTGCACAAGACGAGGTTCACGGAATCGACTTCTTCTGAAGCTGGCACCATGAAGAAGGGAGCGAAACAATACCTACCAACTTGGAAGGTCTCGCTTTCCTTCGGCGTGCTGTTGGATGCCGTAATCCAGAATGATCGCTCATCCAAAGTCCAATCAACCTGGACCTTCACACCATTGGGCAAATCATGTGGGCCTCTGCACGATCTTGAAGGAAGATGGGACCAGAACGAGCTGCCCCTTATTGAACTTCTCCTTGGTCACGAGGGCCTTCGTCGGCTTGAGCTGCATGGATAGCTGCGATAGGACATCCTTGTGATCCTCGGTCAATGTGGCCAGCTCCTTCTGAATGCATGCCACGACCACAGCCGCCTGGAAGTCATGGCACTCCGACGGGTGGAAGACACTGAGGTCCTCGTCTCAGGCTCACTCCTGGGCTGGAATGTAGCCCAGGCCCCACCCATGAATTGCTCGAAAGGCACTTTCATCACTCCCTTCTTTCCGAGCTCGGTCAGATGCACATGCTGGCCTTGGAAGGCATCGTTCTGCATTCTAGCTTGTCTGCCTTTCGGTGGACGAATGCCTGCAATTTGAAACCCTTGTCTGCAAGAAGTTCTGATGCATTCCGCAAGGATCCGTCGGCATTCAATTCCCTCATTCTCTCCGTTGCTGCCTGTGCAGAGGATTGCCCTCCCTTCGATGCTTCGGCACAAGCTTGCCACGGAGAAGTCAACTCCACCCCTATGGTTGCGAAGACCATGGTGGCATCGTGAGCAATGCCTTGGATGCTCTTGTAATCCTTGCCGGTGTCTTTGTCCTCTGCCTGAAGTCCAAGGCAAAACCTGGCCACCGTCATATCCACGATGCCGAGAATGTTGACGAAACGAACATCCTGCAAGATGTCAGTGCCTGCACTGGAGACGAGTTCGCGAAGCTCCTTCAGAACTTTCTCTCCTTCCAAGATCTTGGTGCTGCAACCCCGAGAAAACATCTTCTTGGCATTGGTCTGTGTCAAACCAGTAGCAGACAAGGCAACTTTGAGGATTGCATGCCTCATGTGGGGAACTTGCTGCTGCCCCTTCATGAAGTCCTGGGCGAGCAGCTGCCAGAACCCCAAGCCCAAAGACCGGGTATTGCCTTGACTCCGAATGAACACCTCCGTCTCACGGAGAAATCTCCCTGCAGAGCCGCCGCAATACCTCATACATGCATGCATGCACCCAAATCCCTATATAAAGAGAAACATTTAGCATCTATATCAAAACCCAGCCACCGAAGTGCGAATGTGTACAAAGCAGGAAATGTCTCCGCAGCTCCGCACACGGGGGCTTTGAGTTCAGGGCCATGCTCTTGACCTGCTGGAAGTTTGGAGGGTTCTCGCGACTGCACAAGCTAAAGACCCTCCTCAGCAACTGCATCTCGCTCTCCGATTTCTGTAATGTCGCATTCTGGCTGGCTTGCACGAGCTGAAGTACAGCAGGATGGGCCACTGCCACTTCTTTGGCAATGACATTCCATGTCAGCCCCTGCTCCACATGCTGGGCCAGCACAGGATCTCGCAGACGAACTTGTTCGAGGCTGAGGATTCCGTTCACTGACAACGTGTCAGAAACATGCGGTGCCGCACTGGCGACCAGCCTGAGTGCAAAATTCGTGTGAGAGGCACTGAGACTGAGGATCTGCCGCCGTGCACAGCTGGACGTTGTACGACCTCTCTTGCTCGTTGCATACCTCCACACCTATGGATTCGACCCTGGTTGGCACGAAGCCCACCTGGGCTATGGAGTCTAACAGCTCACGGCAGTCTTGTTGGTTGAGCATAATCCCATCACGGTTCTGTGGATGCACTCCAACAGAAAGGGGTGGCAAGGTCATGCTGGTCATGAGGCCAGCTTTGCGAAGGAGCCCAAAGAGCTCTTGCACCGACTTCACGAGGAAGTCCCCGCCCTTTCTCCGATCCAAAATCGCTTGGATCTGCTGCGACACTTCGTGTGTCAGCGACATCGGGAAGTGTCGGTTCCAAAACAAACAAAGTCTTCAGCCAGAAGCTGCAAAAAGCAGTCCATGGGTTTCTATGCAAAAATAAGCCCTGCCAGGCTAAAAATGCCGGCGAGCTGCTACAATCATGAAGATATGTTTGAGGCAATCATCAAAACAAATGATTCTGAAGTCTGCAAACACAGCAATGTCCGTGGCATTCAAACAATAATGTGCTGTCTGGACATGATAAGATGCTGTTCTTAGACATGCATATATTCTACACATAACTGCACTTAGCACAAGTACACATGTGACATAGAATGTTTATCCTATCTCCACTATCTGTGCTGGTTTGGACTTAGCTAACTCACGGAAGTCCTAGCGTAACCATGCTATCCAGATAGCCTACATTGTATTCAATTAGTATCTGCTTCAACGCAAGTACTAATTACTGTAATGCAACTACTATAGATGTAGGTCTTATTAACTCCACTAAATATGACTTAGCGAACTTGCTAACCATGACTATCGCATTTGTATAATTCCCTCAACTTTGCTACTCAAGTACTAAACAACCGATCGTCGAAGCATGTTTGAGTGTGTCAACGACCTGTAGGTGACTGACTGCAAACAGCCATGCACGCACATTGGCATTTGTGTAGCAGGTATTGCTGTGCTGTTGAAGAGCCGAACCAGGAGAACTCGGCCAATGCCTGTTGCGCAAGCCCGGCAGCCGGTGATTGCTTGAGTGTGTCGCGGCGGAGCTGCAGGCCGATGATCTGTAGTGCCGAGAGTCCCGTCAGAGCTTCCAGGCATTCCTAAACCGTTTGGTTGCCCTTCGTGCGATTGGAGATGTTCAGCTGGAATGTCGTGACCCCTGTCATGTACCCGGTGAGGGGCCTCGTTGCATGCAAGCTGAACTATGCGTTCGATGTCGACCTGGGGGGCTGAAGCCGCTGGCTTGTGAAAGACTTGGCAGTAAAATGGCAAAGTAGCAACAACGGGTTTGTGAATGCCCCCTCCTTGTCTCCATCCGCCTACCGGGCAGTTCACAAGTGAGCGCGCTGGACGCGCTTCTCGGGTGGGTTGGCTGATGCGAAATGAAGAAATAATCGAGCTGGGCTTGATGCTTGCCAAAGCTGAAAGTGTGGGCTTTGTTGCGCGGCGTACTCCATGTGTTGAGCGCCATAAGCGAGTGTGTCGACAGAATAGTGTGCACCGCTTCGGTGTTCGGGGCCCGCTCCGAGGAGAGGTTGGTGCACGCTATGTCCACCGATGAGTCGGTGTCTTGCATTGTCCGTAGAGGTAGGGGCCCGAGCTCCCTGTGATGGGCTTGTGTCCACGTCGTCTGATGGAACCTCCGCCACGTCCTGCTCTGGCACCTCGGGACCTCGGGACTCACACCTCGATCTCAACCTCAACTTCTGTTGGTGTGACTCGACTGGTGAAGTAGGGCTTGCCGACTCTGCGTCCATCATTGCATCATCAGCCTGGTTCTTGAAGTGTGTGAGGGGCAAAGCAGAGATCGGTGGTGGTGTTGTCGGCGGTGTTCTCGGAGCAATGTCTCCCTGTAGTAGCCTGTTCAAGTTGGGGTCCACCGCCGCTCCCGGTTTTGGCATCTGGTTCATCTGATGAGCTCCGCAGGGTTGGTGTTCCACTTGAGGTCGTCGTAGACCTGCTGGCCGCATGCACCGACCATGTCAGCTGTGAGCTGGACCATCTCCGTGTATTAGGGGAACCATATGCTGCCAGAGACTTCTGTCGTGCTTTGTGGACGGTGAAGTTCTCCATGAAGTCACCCAGCTTTTTGTGATTGTTGTACTTTGACCGCAGGCAGTGCCAGACTCCAGTTGCCCATTCTGGGCCAGTCAGCAGTGGCCTCGTCATTGTGGAAGTCGTCGTGCACCTTGGTGGTGTACTCACCCCGATGGAAAGCTGTGAGCATGGTGGGTAGGCCAGCATGTGCTGTGTGTGCAGGTGACCCACAACTTGATGCAGGTGTTCCAGCTGTGGCGTGCTCGTCTCGGCGCTGCTCTGCGGGAGGGGCCGATGTCTGGCTGCCTTGACAAGACCAGCAGTCACTTGTGTGCTGCTCGGCGGTGTAGGAGGTTGGTGAGGCGTGCGCTCTTGGCTATCAGTGCTGTCGAGTCTCGTCGGTCCAGGGACTCTGCAGCCCGGTTCTCTGCTGCCCGGTTCCACCCTTCCTCATCATAGTCTTGCCAGCTCCAGTTGTGCTCATCATACCACCGGTCATCTTGCCAGCTTTCCCAAGCTCCGTCATTTGCCTCCCAGGGGCCGGACTCACACGGCTCCCTTTGGTCTTCGTCTGTGTGGGTCCGGAAGTGCTGCGGCCGGGCGCTGATGCTGGTGGGACGACGAGGCTTTCTCGTACTCTAGCTGGCGCTGACTTGCCTGGCTATCCTTACTGGGCGTGAGGTGCCCGCTTGGCAATCTCGCCGGAAGTGCGGCGTCGTCGGCCGTCAGGTTTGAATCGGGACCGTGGCTACTTAGGAAGGTCTCCCTCGGACACCCGATCGTCGCCCTGCTGCTCGGGCATGCTTGCAGCTGCGTGCAAATGAACGGTTACT